AATATAAGGGAGTGTTTCGATTTTATGCAAATTTATATTGTGATTCAGCAGTGGTAAATTATGACATTCATGGGGAGGTGCTAAACCCACAGGGGTCATAGAGTAGCTGGGAAAATGGGAGACAATGAGGTGCAATTTAACCCGTAAAAGGTCCAAACGGATATATACATTCACTACCCCAGTGCCCTGAATATTTTGAAAAATAAAAAAATCGTTTTTTTTTATAGAAAAAAGGGGCACATTTTTCTAAGTGTTATAGGGTAAAAAAAAAATTTAGGGTCAGTACTTACCGAGATATGAGGCCGGAATTGGCACTTGGCGACCCCTGGGGGCAACATGGACACAGCCGCTTGCAGAAACTCCATATTTCCCGTTTTTTCCTTTTTTTTTTTCTTTTCTTGGGTTTTTTGATAGAACTTTTTTTTTACAGTAATTCTTTGATTACAATGTAAATTGTTGCTTATACACCAATAATAATAAAAAATTTTATTACATATTTCACAGACACATATGTACACACGACAGGTGATTTTGGCCCAGGGGCCCTGGTGGCTAAAGCTCCCTTCACACAGGAGGCCGGGTCGATTCCCGCGGGTGGAAATTTTCGACAACTTTCCTTACACTGTTGTCCTGTTCACCTAGCAGCAAATAGGTACCTGGGTGTTAGTCGACTGGTGTGGGTCGCATCCTGGGGGACAAGATTAAGAACCCCAATGGAAATAAGTTAGACCAGGTCCTTGATGAGGCACTGACTTTCTTTGGGTTATCCTGGGTGCTAACCTCCGGGGTTTAAAAATCCGAACGAAATCTTATCTTATCTTATCTTGCACACCTGGCTGAATCACACATTATTATCTACAACTATATACAAGAATTTACATGTCCCACTTATGTTTCTAGAACTCCACGATTGTATGATCTCCATGAAAGCATGGATTCATACAGAGTGCCACCCCACACTGGTGACAAATGTATTGTGTGTCTTTTCGCTGTTGGGGTCATTTTGTGGTGGTAGCACACACAACACACTTTTTCTGGGAATGCTTCTTCTTTGGGGTAGGTGGTATTGGTACCAAGCACAGGACAGTTAGGGATGATTCGGGTTTTTGGCAACTTCCCCCATCGGCTGTGGTTGGGGGACAGTTGTGGTGTGACAGGTCACTGTTGAGGGGGAGGTACAGGTGTGGTACCATACTTTTTTGCAATCTGTTTTACAACTCAAGGAGAATTCTGCAAACGTTGTCGTTTCGTCTTTATTTCGTACATATTGAATGCATTGAGCACTGCCAATGTCTATAAGGTGAAAAAACAGTTTTATATACCACTTGCGACTCCTACGCACACAGTCAATGAACCCTATCATCTTGTCACACTTGTCAACGAGTCGCATATTGTTTGTATAGTCGACAACAGCAGCTGGCTTGACAATACGTTCATTGGTCTCCCTGTTCACTTTGTCTGTTTGTACCATCTTGTTTCTGTGGATGGTTGACAGCAATGTCACGTCCCATTTGTCATGCCACATCAGTGCCATGATGTCATTGGCATGAAATGCTTGCACTGCACCTTCAATACTGCCTCCACTGAACCTTGGCATATTCCTTCTCACTGTTCCACACATATCAGTATTGTTCACACGTAGGAAATCAGCGAGCATAGGGCTTGTATACCAGTTGTCTGTGTACAATGTATGGCCCTTGCCAAGGTATGGTTCTATCATTTTTCAAACAACATCACCAGAAATGCCCAACATGCATCTGGTATCGTCAAGTGTGTTTTTCCCGGTGTATACAATCACATCTAATACAAGACCACTCTCACAGTCACACAAAACAAACAGTTTTATACCAAAGCGATGACGTTTGCTTGGTATATATTGTTTGAATGACAAGCATCCCTTGAACAAAATCAAGGACTCGTCAACAACAATATTCTTGAAGGGATAAAAGTAGGCACTGAATTTCTGCTTCATATAGATAACCACTTCCCGGATTTTGTATAGAAGGTCATTCCTGTTGGGCCTATTCCTGTCTGAGAAGTGCAACATTCGTAGCAACAGAATGAATCTGTTGCAGGGAAGGAGGTCACGGAAGACAGTACTGATAAAGTGGTCTGTGGCCCAGTAGTTACGTATATTGTTCTTATAGGTATGTGGCATAAGCATGACAGTGCCAAGGAATAAATACATTTCATCCGCTGTTGTATCTTTCCATCTGCGCAGCCGTGACAATTCCCCAACATCTGGTGTATTGTCCATGATATAATGGTAATAATTGTTCATCTGGGTCACTATCAAGTTCATTATAGGCTCGTCAAAGTATAACTGGAAAAAGTCTAACTCTGTCGACTCATTCGTTATGGGACATTCTGGCAGGATGCCACTTCCACTCGCATCAAAATCAAAAGGCTCTGGCACGAATATACTTTGTGTCCAGTTCCACTCTCGGTCACATGGTGCAGGGTAGACCTCTGGCATGGGGCGAGGGGGAGCAGGAGGGGGGACAGGAGTGGTGGCAGCACATGGTTGAGGGGGTGCCGGGCGGTCCTTTGTCTGTCCACCCACCGTGCCATGTGGTCCAGGCACCATGCCACCCACCACTATTTCCTCCATCCCCACATATTCACCTTCATTATCACTTTCACTATCAGTGGCAGGGGTTTTGGATCGTGACCTGCCACGACCCTTGCCTCTGATTGCACATGGCACACTGCCTGAACGTAGGTAATGACGCCTAAAAGTACGCTTCACTGGTGAATAATGGCCACTGTCACTAGACGAATCCTCTAATGGCATAAAATCAATCTCATCATCACTTATATCACTTTCACTATCACTACTAAAACACCGGGAAAATGATAGTTTCCTCTTGCGTAGTTGCCTATGGGTAACACTTGCCACTCCAGAGGTGCTGGGCCCAGGGTCTTGTGTGGCCACACTGGCCACCCCAGAAGTGTTTGGCCCAGGGTCTGGTGTGGCCACACTGGCCACCCCAGAAGTGCTTGTCCCAGGGTCTAGTGTGGCCACACTGGCCACCCCAGAGGTGATGGGCTGAGGGTCATCTGGGTTATCATCTATATTTTAACTATTTCCTTGATTATTAGTAGCCACATCTGTGTCAAATCCACTAAACTGACCTTCCATATCACTTTCCTCAAATAATAGAGTGTTAATACGACGAGGCGTGAGTGAATCATGAGGATGTGCCATGATGTTGACCCAAGATGGAGCTGAATGTAATTGGTCTTACCATGCGGTACCCAGGCATCCCAGATTTTTTTGATACTGCGCACAATGAGTGTGCACATCCATTCTCTCATGTCTAGGCGACTCAGGCCTATCGCACCAATTTTGAAGGAATGAAAAATAAAATGTAAATATACGTTTGGGGCAGTAGTAGCAAAAACGTATATATATGTTTGGACCGTTTACGGGTTAAGAAAGGGGAAAAACAGTCATCAAGGAGCCTCCCTTGAGGGAAGCTCAGCGTTTTTAAAACATTTAAAAAGTTCAAATGTAGTACAAACATAGCATATAGTGCTAACAATTTGTGGTTAAACACCACAAGTTCCCAGGACTGAAATGTTTCTAAAATCAAGTGTTCTCAGTGTTTACTTCCACAGGCATACCTCACTAACACAGTGCTCACTTTAGAGTGCTTTGCTACTATGGCACCTTCCAGTTATATTTATCATTTATGGTGGTGATGCACAAATTACTGATTTTCAGATGAATTGAGCATTTATTTATTATTTTTACTTTAGTATTTTTTAAGTCTAGTGTTATTGTGCACTTAATAAATGATAATGTAAACATGTTTCTAGGCTTTTATATGCACTGGCTGTGATTCACGTTATGGCAGCAGTCTGGAACCTGTTGTATTAGCAAGGTATGCCTGAATACCTTTATCCGCAGTGCAAAAGCCTTCAAAAGGAATGTTGACAGATACCCCTAGAGCAGGGGTCCCTAACATATGGCCCTTCTAGGAAATGGATGCAGCTCTCACATGAAATTATGAATTCACTTTTATGTAGGTTTCACACTGCACAGTATCAACATTTACAAAATCTGGCTTTCCCAAATTGGCCCTTTCATACTAAAAGGTTGGGGATTACTGTCCTAGAGAACTCCAGAGAAGCTGAGCTTTGGTGCATATGATGGACTGTGTGCTGCTACCTCCAAAAGCCTGACTGATCAGGCTGGTAACCAAGAAACCTGGTACAGGACCAGAAAGTCTGGTTGGGACGACAGGAACCTTCAACAAGAAGGTAGTACTAAGTGTCTTGTGTGTAAGTGTGAATGTGTGTTTTATTATCACCTTGGTGTGTACATATTGCAACATATAGTACCTCCATGTATATACACTATGAAATATATCTCTGTGTATTCACCATGAAATATACGAGCTCCTGGCCCCGCCTCTTCACTGATCGCTACTAGGTCACTCTCCCTGAACCGTGAGCTTTATCATACCTCTGCTTAAAGCTATGTATGGATCCTGCCTCCACTACATGGGGCTATATACTCTGATACACACCTCAGTCTGTTGGCACTGAGATATACACTCTCTGATGTATATACACCTTGATGTGTGTATGTATATACTCTGAGAGACACATCTCAATCTATGTTCACATGAAATATACACAACTCTGTATATACAGTGATACATACCTTGGTGTACACACACTGAAAGATGCATACCTCAGTCTATATACTCAGAGATAAAGGATTAAGTTCATTTCTAGGAAGTATGGTTTACATGTGTATACACACCTCAAAGTATATACAGATTCATACCTTTGTGTATATACTTGATACATACCTATATAAAGCTGCTCCTCGACTTACAATGGGGGTTACATTCCAGTGAACCCATCGTAGGTTGAATATATGTTAAATCTGTCACTGAATAAACAAATAATTACTGTAACTAAATACCAGTATTGAAAAGTAAATAAATTAATACAAATTACAGACTTGCTGCCTTCATGCTGGGTAATTATCTTAATTTTCATCTCCAGAGTACAGGTACCATCCGACTTACAACCGAGTTCAGTTCTGACCAACCGGTCGTAAGTCGAAATGGACGTAAGTCGAACCTTACTACTGAAAAATAATATCACATTTTTGTAATGACTTTATTTTATTGTTTTATTTTGGTATTTCATTTTTTACTTTACTTTTTATGCTGTTAGTACTGTATTTTATACTGTAAGGTTTAGGTTAAACACTGTGTACAACACAAACAGTTGTTTATTTCCCAGAAATTTGGCATACAAAACACAGTCGTAAGTCGAATGGTTGTATGTCGAGCTGGTCGTAAGTCGGAGGGTAGGTGTAATTGCTTTTGCACCAACGTAAGGTCAAAATATCATAAGTTGAACCATTGTAAGTCGAGGCGCTCCTGTGTGCCATAAAAAAATTATATGCCTCGGTGTACATACCCTTGCATACCATGATGGGAATTCAAAGTAGTGTGGCAGATTTTGGTTTTGCTCTTGAGTGCATACAAGAGGGCCTCACTTTAGAGCACTTTGCTTTAAAGCATTTTGCTAATGCAGCAGTTATTAATTATACCCATTCTTCATTTATTCAGACTTCCTACAACAAATATATTCATCACTCACTTTAAGCAAAAGACAAAAATATTTTAAGGTAACCTAAACTGCTGTATGAGTGGGTCCCTGCAGTGTCCTGGAACCTAACGTGCTGTATAAGCAAGGCCCTACAGTAGCCCAGAACCTAACCTGATGTATAAGTGGGGCCCTACAGTAGTCAGGAACCCAACCTGCTGTATAAGTGGGGGCCCTACAGTAGCCCGGAGCCCAGCCTACTGTATAAGTGTGGCCCTCCTGTACAATACAGTTGGTTTGTGGATAACTAATCAACAGCTAATTGATTTAATCATTTATTCAATTGTGTTAAATTTACAACATTTTTTACAAGAGTCCGTAACAGAATGAATGGTGATTTACATGAATAAATATGTATGACTGTTTTGTACACATGACTGGTATATACACATGACTAGTATGTACACATGACTGATAAGTATATATATACATGTATATGATTGGTATTTATACATCCATATAAACAGTCCATAGCTGCTATGTATACATGAGTAAAATTAATATGGCTGATATGTATACATCACAGATATGCATACATGACTGTTAAGTATTATTAAGTGCAATTTATTTATTTATTTATTTATTTATTTAGTAATTTGAGCATACATACAGAGGTACAAAAAAAAAATAACAGGTAAGAGCAGCATGCCAAAGCCACTTATATGCATAGCATTACGGGCTGGCTTAAAATTTACTTAAGATTAACTAAGCAATGATGAAATCAGTGATAAGACATTATTGTAAACAGATAACTATAAAGCACAAATGAATATTACAAAGACAGGTCATATGGTTGCATGCATTGTTGTACATTCAGTCGAATGGAGTATTCTGTTAGATTGGGTTTTAGGTTTAACATTTATGTGATATAATTGTGAGAAACATTTAAGATATACAATTTATAAGGTTCAGTTATGCAGTACAGTGGACCCCCGGATAACGATATTTTTTCATTCCAGAAGTATGTTCAGGTGCCAGTACTGACCGAATTTGTTCCCATAAGGAATATTGTGAAGTAGATTAGTCCATTTCAGACCCCCAAACATACACGTACAAACGCACTTACATAAATACACTTACATAACTGGTCGCATTGGGAGGTGATCGTTAAGCAGGGGTCCACTGTATTTATTTGGTTTTGGGTGAGTAAGTGATCTCTGAGAAGAGACTTGAATTTATAAACAGGTAGTGTTTCTTTTATATTTACAGGTAATGAATTCCAGATTTTAGGGCCTTTGATGTGCATTGAGTTTTTGCATAGCGTGAGATGGACACAAGGAACATCAAAGAGTGATCTGTGCCTTGTGTTATGGTCATGTGTTCTGTTGAGGTTGGCAAGATGTTTGAGGGGAGGGTTAATATCAGAGTTAAGTGTTCTATGTATGTAATAGGTGCAGTAATAAGTATGGATGTTTTGTATGGTGAGTAGGTTGAGTGTTTTGAATATTGGTGGAGTGTACTGCCTGTAGTGAGAATTTGTTATCATTCTAACTGCAGCCTTTTGTTGGGTAATTAGTGGTCTGAGATTGTTAATTGTTGTTGACCCCCATGCACAAATTCCATAGGTGATATAGGGGTAAATAAGAGAGTGATATAGAGCCAGGAGGGCTGACTGTGGAGCATAGTACCGTATCTTCGATAGTATACTTACAGTCTTGGAAATTTTCTTAGAAATTTGTTGTATATGTGTATGAAATTTGAGTCTATTATCAAGGTGGATTCCTAAGAATTTTCCCTCTGTTAGCTTTGTGATAGGTGATCCATTTATCATTATGTTAAGAGGGACATCTGTAGCTCTGTTACCAAACTGAATGAAGTAGGTTTTGTCAATGTTTAGTGTAAGTTTGTTAGTCCTCAGTGTTTAGTGTTAAGTTTGTTAGTCCTCATCCAGGTAGATATTTTCTGTAATTCGGTATTTACAGTATTGGCTAGCATGACTGGGCTCGGGTGAGAGAAGACGTATGTAGTGTCATCTGCAAATAGTGTGGGTTTGAGTAATTGCGAAGCATTTGGTAGGTCATTTATGTATAGGATGTATTTTTATGTATAGGATGTACATGGATTGCAGACATGAATACAGTGGACCCCCGGTTCACGATATTAATCCGTTCCTGAGAGCTCATCATAAACCAAAATTATCGGAAAGCGAATCAATTTTCCCCATAAGAAATAATGGAAATCAAATTAATCCGTGCAAGACACCCAAAAGTATGAAAAAAAAAAACTTTTACCACATGAAATATTAAGTTTAATGCAATAGAATAATTACAATAACAACAACAACAATAGAATAATATGTAACAAAAGAATAATTGACACTTACCTCTAATGAAGATCTGGTGATGATTGATGGGATGGGAGGAGGGGAGTGTGTGGATGGTGTTAGCATTTAGAAGGGGAATCACCCTCCATTAGGACTTGAGGTAGCAAGTCCTTTTCCGGGGTTACTTCCCTTCTTCTTTTAATGCCACTAGGACCAGGTTGAGAGTCACTGGACTTGTGTCGCACAACATATCTGTCCATAGAGGCCTGTACCACTCGTTCCTTTATGACTTTCCTAAAGTGTTTCACAACATTGTCAGTGTACAGGTTGCCAACACGGCTTGCAATAGCTGTGTGAGGGTGATTTTCATCCATAAAGATTTGCGCTTCAAGCCACTTTGCACACATTTCCTTAATTTCAATAGTCATATTTTGCAGAAACAAGCACCAAAAACAGTGATAATATGGATAATATAGAATGTACCGAATGTATCCTTAGATGCGCATACACTGGCTGGCTTGTAAACACTGGACACATCTCGTACGAATAGTATTGCATACTGGGTTTTGTAACAGGAACTGAGGCAAATTTTTTGCGATATAATGCATCGGTTACCGGATTTATCGGATACCGATAGCTTCGCAAACCGGGGGTCCACTGTACTATGTAGACATGACTTATGCATACATAACTACCATGCATACATGACTGCTATGTAGACATGACTGCTGTATATAGATGACTTCTTTGCAGACATGACTGCTATGTAGACATGACTGCTATGTAGACATGACTGCTATAGACATGACTGCTATGTAGACATGACTGCTATGTAGACATGACTGCTATATAGACATGACTGCCTTGTGAAAGTAATCACAAACAGGGAACTCACAATGGTTCATTTACATAGTAAATAATATATTCTGGGCAACAGCAACACAGCGATGTGAAATTCCACACATTTATGCATTTCTCACATGAGTCGCTACTTTACACCCAACTTTTTTTTTTTTTTAATGCAAGTGGCCATTTCTCACCAAGATAGGGCCACCCAGAAGGGAGGAAATGCATTCACTATCATTTATTCGTTATCCAAAGTGCACTGCATATTGGTTTTCTCTTGGGCCTAAGAGCATTTTATGTGAAATGTGTCACCCGTATACTGCAGAAAAGATATTAATTATATGTATTGTTTGTTTTGCCAAAGGTGCACCAATGTCACTATTCTGGTGGCCCTTGGAACTGCAACATCCTCATTCCTCCTTCAGAGTGCAGGCACTGTATGTCTCACCTCCAGGACTCCAGTCTGGATGACCAGTTCCCCCTGAATTCCTTCATAAATGTTACCTTGCTCACTCCAGTACCTCACCTACCTTCATCCATCCCACCACACATATTCAACCTCCTGTCCATGTGTGGCAGGGGAGGACAGCTGTGGACCAACACTTTCACCTATCTCCCACAGATGCTCATCACCCATACCCCCTCCCCACCATGCTTTTGTGGACTTCACTCCTCCCTCTCACGTTTGCACCCACCTCTCTCCCAAACACTTGCCCTCGCCTGCATATACTCACCCACCTGCCTCTGCCCGTCCCCACACCAGTGCCCAACTGACCACATGTTACAGTGCCACATGGGATGTACTGGAGTAGGCATGTGGGATGGCAGCGACAGTATGTACCTACAGACCACTTTCACCCATTTGGTCTAACCTTCACTCACCTGTCTTCACCCAGTACCTTGTCCTCATCTACTAACTCCCATGCTCCCACCCACTAGCTCACAAGACAATGTACTAACCCTGAGGTTCACTGCAAGACAGAAGAAAAGACTGCAGTACATGCCACATTTTCCCCTACATTTACTCCGCCATGTAAACTGATTTTTATAACATACACCAAAAATACGCCAGAATTCTGCAAAATGTTTTAAAAAACGTATTAACAGACTGCATGTTATCCAGGGGTCTAATGTAAACAATAGCTGCTGAGCACCTGGTGAATGGGAAGCAAACAGGCTTGATCCAAGAAGGAAAAAATGCATTGGCCATCTCCCACCAAGGCAGGGTGACCTAAAGAGAAAAATTATTTTTTTCAACATACCGGCCGTCTCCCACTGAGGCAGGGTGACCTAAACAGAAAAACGAAAGTTTTTCTTTTTACATTTAGTAATTTATATGGAGGAAGGGGTTACCAGTTCTTTGCTTCCACTAAGAGCTTTACCTATTTGTAAAAACTGCCACATAGGCATGTGTGTTTTTTCCATGTACACTCACGTGTGCACACATGGTTATGTTTTACCTTAATAACCTGCCATAACAGTAAGGATCCAAAGAAGAAAACACATTCACCATCACTCAATCATTACCAGAAGTGTGTTGACATCACGAGTTACCTCCCTGACTGCAACATCCCTGTCCCTCCTCCTGTATGTGCACATGCACATACAGGACCATTTCAAATGTTTAATAAATGCTAATTCTTATGTATTTTCACTGCTGCTGAATATAATTTATATATCTTTCTTCTTTCAACGCACTGGCCGAATCCCACCGAGGCGGGGTGGCCCAAGAGAAAAAAACGAAAGTTTCTCCTTTTACATTTAGTAATATATACAGGAGAAGGGGTTACTAGCCCCTTGCTCCCGGCATTTTAGTTGTCTCTTACAACATGTATGGCTTACAGAGGAAGAATTCTGTTCCACTTTCCCATGGAGATAAGAGGAAATAAACAAGAACAAGAACTAGTAAGAAAATAGAAGAAAACTCAGAGGGGTGTGTGTATACATGCTTATACATTTGTGTGTAGTGTGACCTAAGTGTAAGTAGAAGTAGCACTGTGTACCTGAAATTTTGCATGTTTATGAGACAGAAAAAGACACCAGCAATCCTACCATCATGTAAAACAACTGCAGGCTTCCAGTTTACACTCACCTGGCAGGACGGTAGTACCTCCCTGGGCGATTGCTGTCTACCAACTTACTACCTACATACACACAATGGTATACATACATACACACAATGGTACTGTGTGTCAATAAGGATGTGTGTATATACAACTCAAATAAAAAAAAAAACATTCTCTCTATTCAAAATTTCTTGACTTGTGTATTTACAATGCACAAGATTACAAAGTTGTGATAAATATTTTCTTTAAATTGATATTTTTAACCTCTTGTTACCCTTAATCTGCACAATACAGTTTGTACATGTACATGACAATGTAAGAGAGAGAGATGCAACACTGTTGAGTTTACCCGACTCTCGTGTACAAGATCCTAATAAATCTGCAATGAGCTGAGACATGGATAACCCACAAATCTTTATATCAAGTTGTTTGGACCATAGTGACTCACAAAATCATAATGACTGCAAAACCATGGAACAGACAACTTGCCATGGGCTTTAAGCAATCCATTGGACATTGTCTTATTAATCTTAAGATAGGCTTAAATTTGTCTGAAATGGTTTGCATATTAAGGGGCTTCATGCATGCACACCTAAATGTCATTCACCCTTGTACAAATATTGTATCATGCTGAAATAATCTATAATCAACATTTGGGCCATTAACAAGTTCAGCCTGGCCTGAAAGGTATATCCTCAGTCTATGGGTAGGTCGTGAATTGTTGCAGCCATGTTACTGCGATTTTTATTCTTTGCCAGGCAAAGTGCTACTCTGACGGAGCCACTGTATACACATCAAAAGTTTCTCCATCCATCTGCACTTGAAACTTTCCACTCTCGAGAGCTGCCATTGATATCTGCTGCAGTTGTGTGGCAGTCATTTGTTCACTCAGCTGTATCTGCTCCTGTAGAGAGGCGAGCTGAACTGCGTCAAACTCTTGGAATTTGGAGACTTCGTCATCACTGTTGCCCTCGATGTCGTCAATCTCTTCCTTGAGGAAGTCAGTTTCTATAATTGGCGTGGCATCCGCAGTGACACTGGACATCTCTATCTGAGGCAGTAATACCTGGTTTTTCGTATCATCCTCGGAAGCTTCTGAAAGGACAATGATGCACTGGCCTCCGACACCAAAGATGGCGTCATCCAAGCCAACCATCTCTATGCCTTCCCCTTCTTTAAAATCCCCAACCATGTAACTTGTGCTGACTTTCTCTCCTCTGCTCTCAATCACGTATTCTCTCTTGAGTACAATCTTCGAACTGAATACGTCACTTTCTCCGCCAATCAGTGTGCTCATTTCCACTTCAGGGTGCTTGAACTTTCTATGGTGGTCATAGGAAACTTTGTGTAAGAACACTGCACTTGGACACAGCTGACACTTAAATGGACCACTTCGGAACTTTTTTGGCTCGTGTTGTTTGGCATGATTCTTTAAGTGGTGGATTTTTCTAAACTTAACACCACATATATGACATTCAAATGGCTTTTCACCAGTGTGGATTCGTATATGTTCCTTAAAGGCAGCACACCGTGTGAAGGCTTTAGAACAGTGTTTGCACTTCCAAGATTTGGCCATACGGTGAGTTTGGTTGTCATGCATTAAAAGAGCAAAGTTGGTGTGGAATTTCTTACCACACTTATCACAATAATACCTCTTTTTCTCATGTCTCAACTGGTGAGTTTTCAGGTTACTTGGATGAGTGAAGACTTTAAGGCACTTGTCACAATGGTAACTTTTACCATCATGAAGTTTCGAATGGTAAGCAAGGGCAGATTTTGATGAGAATTGTTTCCCACACACGCTACAGTCTACCTCGTCTTTGGGGCGATTTAGGGCATCTTCATTTCCCGGCACTTGAATTTCAACATTGTGGAAATCCTTGAGGTGGTTTTCCCATGCTCCAATCCGAGCCAAAACTTTGCCACAAAACTGACACTCAATGGTGTCATGAGTCCGCTGATGTTCTTTCAGCTGTTCTCCCGTGGGACAAACCTTCATGCAGAACTTACACAAATGGATGATGTGGGATCTCTTGCGGTATTGCCTCTTAACACGCTCCTCGGAATTTGTGCCCCGAGACCTTGCCTCCTTCTTTAGAGTGCCATACGTGTCTATCTGTGGCAAAGCTCGAGATTTTCTCGATAATTCGGCAAGGCTAAGCCGCATCCTCTCTGACAGAACCGGTACTCTCTTGCCTGGTTCCCTGGGACGTGTCACCTGTAACGTCTGAAAGGCAATACAAGACTTTCAGTCCATCGTAATCACACCCAGAAAATCTTTAACATTGTTCTTTATATTTTTTTCATCAAAATAATAACAGAGCTACAGAATTTGGAGGAGAAACGACGCTGTAGAAAATGTGTTTATTAGTCTTTAGTATTGCAGTAAGAACAGTGTTATTTCTTTGTAATGTAGCACTAGACAAACTACAATACTGTATAAATGAAAAAAAGCTCTTTTATTTGTTGGAAAAGGCAGGTTATTGTTGAATAGATGGTGTTTGAACCAACCCCTGCAACAAGACTAAACCCCATCCATTCCACAAATTTTGATCCTCTACTAAATTTAGTAGAGATAAATACGATTACTGAGCAAGGGGCTACTAACCCCTTCTGTATAATTACTAAATATAAAAAGGAGAAAAACTCTTCACTATATATGCAGTCTCTCCTCACTTAACAACAGAGTTCCGTTCCTAAGACCATGTCAGTAAATGAGTTCATCGTTAAGTGAGGAACATATTATAATGGTAGTGGATTTGTGTCAACCATCTTTGATATTGTTTTAATGTAACCTTGGCATCATTTATAACATTTCTAGTATATTTTTAAATGTCTATACAGTAGTGTACTGTATACAGCAAGGCCCCACTTACATGGCAGGTTAGGTTCCAGGCTACTTCCGGAAAGCAGACCTCGCCGGACAACAGACCTCCATTTTTTCCATTTATAAAAGCATATAAATGCCAGATAACAAGTTTACACTTACATACATTAAGTTACCAATAGAACTAGGCATTAAAAAGTAAAATACACATACAGTACACTCATTATTTACCTCAAAATATTTGTAGTCTTAATGTAGGGCAAAAGGTGAGTAGTATTTACTGTAAGAAGTCAGGTGTGGTAGCCCTCCTGGCCACCCCACCCACACATACTATACAATAATGCTTAAAGCATATACAGTAGGGCCCCACTTATACGGTGGGTTAGGTTCCAGGCTGTCTCCGGAAAGCAGACATCGCTGGAAGGCAGAACGGCATTTTTTTCCATTTATAAATGCATATAAATGCCAGACAACAAGTTTACACTAAATTATATTAAGTTAGTAATAGAACCAGGCATTAAAAACACACAAAGTAAAATACATTCACAGTAAATTCATTACTTATCTTAACCCTTTCAGGGTCCAAGGCCCAAATCTGGAGTCACGCACCAGTGTCCAAGAATTTTCAAAAAAAAAATTTGTTATTTTTTCTTATGAAATCGTAGAGAATCTTTTTGTGAAGGTAATAAAACAAAAAGTACGAAATTTGGTGGAAAATTGACGAAATTATGCTCTCGCGAATTTTGATGTGTCAGCGATATTTACGAATCGGCGATTTTGCCGACTTTGACTCCCATTTTAGGCCAATTACATTATTCCAATCAACCAAATTCTTAGCTATTTCACTAGTATTACTTCTATTCTATCGATTGAGCACAAGAAATCGCCAAGTCAACTGTTTCAACTACAAAATAAAGTGATCGGAAATTGTTAATTTGGCCAATTTAACACAAAGTTCAAAATATTCCAATTTCAAAATAGGGTCCAGAATAAACAATGTAGGCATTCCTGGCACTAAACTAACATTTCCTCTGTTCATTAGTCGTGTTTTGAGGCTTTACAAATAAATTCCATTTTGATTTTTTATTCACATAATGAATTTTTATTCACACCAAAAAATAGAACATTTACTGCTATGCAATACTGTAATAATTGTATAAATATCATCACCATATTTGTGAATGTATATTAGACCCACCAGCTGACGTGTATTAGACGTGTGAGGTCGTTTGTTTACTCTTGAATATCGGCAAAAATTTAACATTTCCGCTACTTTGAGCTCAGTTTCAAGCCATTTCCAGTGCTAAAACCAATCAAAATCATCTCTATTTCTGTAATATGTCTTCCATTCTATCAAATGAGACCAAGAAATCGCAAATACAACTATAAAAAACATACGAAAAAACACTGCAAAGTTGCTGTTTTAATCAAAAAATCATGATTTCAGTTTTTTTCTCTCATTATACACAGTGTGCTGCAGGATCTGTTTTATGTGGTGCACACATACCACATAGATGTATTCTCTCATATATAGGCCCAAATGTACCACTCACAGTTTATCAGAGTGAGCTGAGCTCATGGCGTAGATCTACGGTTTGGACACTCACCATAAAGCCGTAGATCTACGGGACGGACCCTGAAAGGGTTAAAGTATTTGTAATCTTAATATAGGGAGAGAGGTGAGTAGTACTTATTTGTAGGAAGTCAGGTGCAGGTAGCCCAGGTATAGGTAGCCCTGGCTCCCCGTCTCATACTTAATATACGATATTTAAAACATCCCAGAGATGTAAAATACACATAGAGTACACTCATTATTTACCTTAAAATGTGTAGTTTTAATATAGGAAGAGAGGTGAGTAGTATTTATTTGTAGGAAGTCAGTGTAGGTAGCCGGTAGGTGTAGCCCGCCTGGGCTACACCTACCGGCTACCTACACTGTGGCCCAGAGCAATATTATTAACATCGTCATGCCTTGTTCACTGAATTTAATCATTTCTAACAACTACCTATAGATGCCATCATAAACGAAGGTAGAAGTAATGAATAATTTATGCCGAAAATTGTAAACAAAAGCGGAGTGAGGGAGTGGCTGGGCCAAACGCAGATTCATACACGTTTTCTCTGATGGCCAAGCAGAGAAAACGTAATGTTGTCCCTCCGCCCGGCTACCACACAGGTCCACAAGTATTATTATCAGAGCACACATAAAATATGCAATAAATGCTAGACAACAAGTTTACACTAACTTATATTAAGTTAGCAATAGAAATAGGCATTAAAAACACAATAAAAGGTAAGATACACACAGAGTACACTTATTACTTACACTATTACTTATTACAAACTGAACAGGTAGTGGACGATCATTTGGTCAGGCGAAATAAATGTGTATTAATATGTGTCTACTTTTAGTTCATTCACGTACGTTTGTAAGAGTTTGTAAAACATTTACCTCAATATTTTTTTTATTATAATAATAATTACCTCACAATACAAATACTCTTACATTGTGTACAAGTTGTACAAGTTAGTTCAGAATAAGCAAACAGCAACACACCATTTTTAGAGTGAATGAAGATAATAATAATAATAATAATAATAATAATAATAATAATAATAATAATAATAATAATAATAGGAGTAAATGGAGACAAATGTTTTTAATACTTGACGCGCTGTTGGAGTGTGAGCAAAGTAACATTTATGAAGGGGTTCAGGGAAACCGGCAGGCCGGACTTGAGTCCTGGAGATGGGAAGTACAGTGCCTGCACTCTGAAGGAGGGGTGTTAATGTTGCAGTTTAAAAACTGTAGTGTAAAGCACCCTTCTGGCAAGACAGTGATGGAGTGAATGATGGTGCAAGTTTTTCTTTTTCGAGCCACCCTGCCTTGGTGGGAATTGGCCAGTGTGTTAATAAAAAAAATAAAAATATTATTATTAATAATAATAATAATAATAATATTATTATTATTATTTATTATAAAAAGCACTAAACCCACAAGGGTCGTGAATTGCTATATATAGAATAAAGGCATACGAAAAGAACATTTTTCTACAGGTATCCCCCAGTTTGACTAGAGAAAACGTAATTCTTCCGACACTACCTACACAGTTGCTTGGTAAACAAATCTCATATTTACATCAATTTTTATTCTGTGAGTGTATGTATCATGTTTATATGCTATGTAATGGGTTTCATGTATAATTTTGAGGAAAATATCATAGATGGATTAATGAAAATGCCTATATTGATGTAAAATAAGACATTTAGTGTGCCCAAGAGTGATTATTATTACGTAGTATTGGCGTAATGAGTAGAGAGAGACCTAGCGATTTTAATGTGTACCTGCACACCAGCACAGTGTGTAAGTATATTTAGGTACAGGTACACATAAGTATAATTATCAGAGTACATATAAAATATGCAGTAACTTTAAAACACTTGAAATTTTGGAAAGTTTCCTGACATAATAGATGAGGTAACAGAAAATGTAAACAAACCTGGGTGGGGGCGCTGTATTTGAAAGACCGCTTGCCGTATAGCAAATTTTGGTCATAATTTGACATCGCCGTATTAGCAGAACGCCGTAAGGCAGAACGCCGTAAGGCGAAACGCCGTAAAGCGGGGCCTTACTGTACAGTACACTCATTACTTACCTTAAAATATTTGTTGTCTTAATGGTCTTAATGTAGGGTGAGAGGTGAAAAGTATTTATTTGTAAAAAGTCATGTAGGAGGTATGGCATCATGGCTGGCCACTTATACCTATTATGACATTAAGCTCCCTAGAGTGATAAAATGCATATATAGTACACTTCTTAATTACCTAAAAATATTTGTAGTCTTAATGTAGGGTGAGAGGTGAGTTTTATTTGTAGGAAGCCGGTTGGGAAGTATGGGTAGCCAGGAAGGGCAGCCCTCACCACTCCAACCCACCCACACGTAATGTAAACAAACCAGACAAACGCTTCTGGTTTTCATCACTATACATTGTGTACAAGTTGTCTCCACATTGATACAGTAGAATAAATAGAGAGAAACACTCCCATTCTCATGTAACACCATTTTTAGAAGAAATGACACCCTGAGTGAAGGCATACAAAAGGAATAATTTTCTAGCTACCCCAAGTAATATTATAGTGTACACATTTTCTCTGATGTTGGATTACAAGTCTGATGTTGGATTACAGAAGTCCTGCAAGTCGCCTGGCTACCACAAGTCCTACAAGTTACCTGGCTACCACAAGTCCTACAAGTTGCCTGGCTACCACAAGTCGCTTGGCTACCACAAGTCCTGCAAGTTGCATGGCTACTACAAGTCCTACAAGTTACCTGGCTACCACAAGTCCTACAAGTTGCCTGGCTACCGCAAGTCCTACAAGTCGCCTGGCTGCCACAAGT